CAACTCCCAGAATACCCCAGCTAGCCATGCTGGCTGGGGAATTCTGGGAGTTGAAGTCCACACATCTTCAAGTTGCCAAGGTTGAGAAACTCTGGCTTAGAGAGTACAAGTCTAATTTTACTGACTTGAAATTCTCTCTCTTCATCCCTCCTTTCCTCCCCCCTCCCGACAATTGTGGATGCAGCCCTCCTTCAGTGAAAAAACATCTTTAATCTCTCATCATTGCAAGATGTTGTAAGTGGCATAAAGGCTAATAATCTTCCTCAATGTTTGTACAAGCTCTTGGGGATAAATAATTCAATTGACATTCTCCGTTAAATCTGGCCTAAGAAAGCTTTTATGCCAAGAGAGATCATAATGGCTCCTATGCGTTACGTTTTTCCTCTCGCCGTCCCTCATTAGGACTTCCTTAAAGCAAATATTTATCTGTTTTGGAGGGTTCTCAGAAATGCCTTCAAGTTTGCTTGTTTTGGGTTTTGGTCTGCTTCTGGTTTTCAAGGAGGAGGAGGAGGTGCATGGGGGAAAGATCACCCCCTCCCCATTCTGAATGCATTCCCTAAGCTAATCTTTTGAACCTGCCAGGGTGTCCACAGGGGCTGGTCAAAAGCCATGTTGGTGGGATTGAACTTCAACCACACCATTGTGGCCACCATCTTGGGAGCTTCAATCACATCATTGTGGCTGCTGTTTTGACTCTTTTGACCACCCCCTGTGGACACCTCTGGAACCTGCTAAAGGTGTGTCTGTGGGCTATATAATACCTACCAACACAGCGCAGACTCTCAGGCCAGTCAACCCTTGATCCCCCGCTCTGACTCCCCACGTCCAACCTGTTCCATGTTTTTCACTCCTGAAGACCCAGTCCCTCCTCCCCTTTGTGCTTTGCTCTGCCAATAACCAAGCTGGTGTTTGTTGGCTTATTTACTTAGAAACAAGATATTGAAAAACAAAATATGATGTCTGTTTAAGACGAGCGTTACGGTTCTTCTGTGGCTCCTCCTGGGCCTGCAGACATTCAGAGAACCCCATGGCATCGAAGAAGCATGGAAAATAGATCCTTTGCTGCAATCAGGTTTGTTGAAAGCACAGGATAAGGAGCGGGCATCCTGGCATTGCTCCGCAGCCCCCAAGCTGCCACTCTGCCTCCACTATATTTATACCACTGGCCCAAACAAGCACCAAGTTATATTTAGAAAGAACTTAACTTCTTTTTTGAGCTGCTGTAGTCAAAAAAAAAAAAGATCAAGTCACATGTCTTCCCTGTTTATTTTGTGCATCGGTTTTAATTCTTGGGAAAGGGTTGGGGTCAAAAGAGATTGGGCTGAGTTCTGTTTTCCCTCTCCTCCTTCTGCGTCTCTCAACGTGGCTTGGACCCTTGAGGATACACACGCAAGGGAAGGCCCACTCCTGGAGGTCATTTCCCACATTAATCACGGAGAGACGGCTTGCCAGCTGAAAACAGAGCAGACACCTGCAAGGCCTCTCATGTCTGCCCCTGGGAATATGGCTTGAGAGAAGAGAGAGACCCTTTGGCCACGGGAGAACCAGAACGGCTTGGTGGGGTCGGTCCATCCAGCCTTCGTGATACCTCTTGAAACGAGTATGGCCAACAGATTGGGAAGGGCCAGGTGAAGGAAACTGGATTCCATCCGTTGTTTGAAACTGGGACCAGCTGGAGGCTGGATGGGATCAGAGAGGCTCTGAAGGAGCAGTCTTGTGGCCGGCCTTGTCCGCCCCGTAGCAAGATGCCAGAGAGAGAAGCTACCTCAGTTCAAGGTTGCAATCCTGGATTCAAGAACCAGCATTGGGGGTGAGGGGGTGGGGAAAGAATCTGGATAGAATCCCACTGTTTGGGTTGAAATGTTGCTCTGTATTCTGGGGTTATGCTTGTGGGGAAAGCAAGCATGTGGACATTTTTTTCTTTTAAGAAAATGAGCAGTCAGCCCTTTTCAAAGATTACGCAGGAGGTTCTATTTTGCACCGGTTTGCAACCCTCCATCCAGAGCTGCTTCTGATGTTTCTGGAAGCATCTTGATTTTCCATTTGCTTCCTGGTTTTATTTCACCCCCAAGACTACAGACTCCGTATTTTGGTCCCTTCCCTTGATTTCTCTCCAGGATAAGATGGAAGATAAAAACAGAAGAGCCCTTGTCTGTAGGGGAGTGGCCAAATTAAAGAAATCTTGGTTGATTCATCCAGTGAAGCTGGTTCCCTGGGCAAAAGGTGAATTGCTTAGAACCTGCATGCAGTGAAGATGAAGCACTTGAGAGAAAAGAAACCCTCAAGTTGTTTTTGGAGGGTGTGGGGGGCACCTCTGTTGCAGCAAATCCTACTATAGGAAAGCCTAGAGTGGTGTTTTTCAACCTTGGCCACCTTAAGGGGGGTGGACTTCAACTCCCAGAATTCCCCAGCTAGGGGAGTTGAGTCTACCCATCTTAAAGTTGCCAGGTTTGAAAGACACTGGGCTAGAGAAGCACCAAAGCATTGCCCCCCAAAGGCCATGCTTGCCTCCTGGTTGTGCCATTTGACCACTTTTGCTGCCCCCCTTTTGTTTCCCCCCTGCCCCCCAGCAGTCAGTCGACACTGAATGTCCTGGGTGCTTCCTCCCCTGCCCTCAAAGTCTGGTTTTGCACTTCTGCAATCCATGAAGTCCCTCTTGAGTGGGTGACCTTGGAGAAGAGTGACGCTGTTTTGGCCACAGAAAGATCCACACTTGGAAAATGGGGATGCAGTCCAGATCGGATTGCAGCTTCCCTCTTCCCTGTCCATCCCCAGGTATGGTTGGACAGCGTTTTCCAGTCCATGTTTTGGCTGTGCATGATGTTGCATGTAGTCCAACACATTTACAGGAGCACCGGTTGGAGAAGGTGGTGGCGGTGGGGCTATCAAATAGTCCTGTTTCTTTCACATAGGGAGGGAAAGCGATATTTTAATTGCTACCCAAGTCCAGTGTCCTTTTCCCCCCCATCCCCCATTGGCTGTTTTGGCAGGTAAACCTAAAGCATGGATGTTTCCTTTCTTTCCCCTCCCCTTGTTTGCAATTCAGTCTTTGCAGCATTGTCAAAATGACAGCCTGCTGGTCTCCATTCCTGCCCATCTCAGAATAAATCTCTGATAATCGTCTTGTGACTCAAAGGTATTGGACATCTGCCTGCAAAGACTGTCACCTGGGACCAACCTGGTCGCTGTGAACAAGTTCCTTTGACTTTCAAAGCATGTCTGGCACAATGGGTCTCCAGAAGGAGGGTGCTGTGTGTGCACCGTGGGGCAAGGCATGTAGGTAAATCGAAACTTGTTTAGGGGACAGAAGGACACGCTATTTTAGTTAAAGAAAAGCGTGCAAGAGAAAATGGACTCCCGCGCCTGTTGTCGTCATCCAGAGCACCATTCCCAACGAGCTGCTGGAGAAGACCACATCGTTCCCTCCAAATGTTTGTGACGGCCATTCTCATGATCCTCTGTCAGTGGCCATTCTGGCTGGGGATGATGGGATGTCAGACCAGCACACTTAGAGAGCAGATCCTACAGCAAGATGGCTTGCAACTTCACAACTGGCCTTGCATCGAGGTGTACCACCCGGGGACCTTCCCGTAAATCTCCACCCCGCCACTGATATTTTAAATCAGCTCTAGAAGCATTGAGAAGTTGATTGGTGACACTAGCAGCAGCCCTTTCTACATCTGCTTTGCCTCTGTGCCTGGTGAAAAATTTCAGTTTTTCTCCCCTTGTCCCGTGAAGTATATTTTTTGAGCGGGACGCAGCAGGGGGGCTTCCAGAATGCTTCTGTGGTCTAGAGACAACAAAGGAACCTCTGCTGTTTGGATATGGATAGGATTTAATGGACCCCTGCGTGCCACAAACAAAATGGAAACTTTTAAATAATTTACTATTTATTTGGTTTTTTTCTTTTTTTCCTGCTGACTTTGGAAATCTCCTTCCTTCCTTTCGTTGTGCACTTTTAAAGTTCGGATTATTGCAACATTTAACCTGAATTCCATAGGAAAA